CGCTACGACCGCAGGACGCTCCTTTAACATATAACATCGACACCCGTTATACACTGCATACACAGCAGCAGATACAGCAGCAGCAGAAGCAACAGCAAATAATCTATAAAACAAATGCAAAAAATCCAAAAAAAAAAAAAAAAAAAATAACTAAAAAATGATAAATCAACAAACACTACTCCACACTCTCCCCCACGAAAGCAGATAAAAATTAAGAGGATGTTTTTCGTCGAGCGTGGCGAAAAGAAAGATTCATCTTTCGAGCGAATTGAGACTTGTTTTTTTTTGTACTTTCGAAATTTTGCAGAGAAATAGAAGACGGACATAATGCGTAGCGTTAAAGAAACAACAGAGACGCGAAGAGGAATCTTCTAACGTTTCATTAACGATATTGCGCTATGTGTATTCGGGAAGAGGAAAATGCAAACCGACAGAAGGGTAAAGCAATCACGGAGTACGAAGCGATGGACTCGAGCGCGGCAAGGGATATGATGTATATGTAGATTTTTGTTTTCGTTTTTTTGTGTATTTCTCGTTACATTGATTTTTCTCCGATAAGGCGCACCGCGTGCGCGATATTTGAGTTTATTGCTATATTTCGGCGAGCTTCTTTCACTTTTCGGCGATTTTTTCCATCAAAAGCAAATAGCGAAAACCGATACGTGATTTATACGTGATTTATACGTGATTTATACGTGATGATGTACGAATTTCACTTGAATTTTTGCCTGTCTCGAAGTCATTCGTTTCCTTTCGGCTTGTATCTCGAAATCGACGAACTGCCGTATTGCTTTCACTCTTACATGCGTAATTACATTGCGATTGATAAGCGTAAATACAGCATTGGGGTGTGTGTGTGTGCCTCAAGGATAATGATACGATATTGATTCTAAATTTTCTTACACTTTACAATTTGTCATAAGCAGAAACGATTATTATACTAGCATTTATCTTGGCCGTATTTTTACAGTTGATTGTAGCAAACAATTGTCGATACTGGCCCCTGGTGGGTCCGGCGAAGCGAATTATGATTAGCGATTATTATTGTACTGATTTTGCTGTATTAATTGGACATAGGAAGGCGAGCCTTGTGGGATTTCAGATTTACGAAGGCTACATCTTTACGGTTGATACGGTGCTAAATGCACTTTAAAGAAAAGGCTGACTGTTGCTCATGCGCTTGATCCGAGAAAACTATTAACAATTTCTTGAAAGAAACAGTCAGCCTTTTCTTTAGAGTGCATTTAGCACCGCTCATTTTGAAAACTTGATTTTGCGGTGCTGCACGTATTGATTTTGAACGTAAATGCTCTGATTTCGCAAACCTCGTTTTTATTATCAAGTTCTGACTATTATCAAGTTCTGAAAAAAAATCAAATTTCGCTTCAATGGCCTGTAACACCAAAACCTTTATATTTTTATATTATACGTTTTCGACGTATAATGTGGGAGGGTGAAGATTTTGGTGTTACAGAGCATCGAGGCGCAGTTTGACTTCTTTTCAGGACTTGCTAATAGTTTGTTCGCATTGGATTGCGTTTTGATCCAACCGTAAATGAAGCAGGCGCCTAACATAAAATTTTGCACAATCTGCATCTTATCCGTAATTAATCCGTCAATACAGTAATAATCACTAATCGCTAGTCAAAATAAATCGTGAGTAAATCGTCCGGTCTTTTCTGAAATTGACGTCGAGTGATCGTGCAGGCCGGTTTTTCTTATTAAGCTACTGACCCCATGCATACGGCAATCGACTCAATTTGACTCTATTCGGAACAAGAGCCGGGCGTATCACACACATCGGCTCGATTGACAATACGAATACCGTAGACTGTCATGAGAGTACGAGAGAAGAGAGAGAACAAGAGAGAGAGAGAAAACAAACTTTATATAATTTTGCATGGAACTAATTTTTAAAATTTTAGTTTGTAGTATCGTCGACGATAATCAAATAAATATATACGTCTTTCTTTAAGAAAAAAATTACAAAATTGAAGTATATCTTTATATTGGGCCAAACTGATTTGATTGACATTTCTCTTCCGTTGAATTCTACATCCAGACGGTACAAAGATCTGTGAGAGGAGATACCTTCTTCAAACGTTTCTCGTATCGTTTGGATGTAGCCTGTCGATGTTACATGATGTTACTGTTTTCCGTCATCTGTAATTTTGTGCTCGTCGATTAGAAACGATCAGCGTCGCGCAAAATAAATACGCGAGTGAGAAATAATCGAATATTCGATTATTTCGCGAATATGTATTTATAAGTGTATTGGCACGTATAAAATGTATACGGAACTGCATATCTTCGCCAGAGATGCGTCAGCGTGCATTTTATACACGCTAGTTTAATAAATACACATTCGAAGTTGTTCGCGAATAGATTTTTGCCGTCAGCGCGCGGTAGTCGTTGCCCGCCCAGGTGCCAGGTAGAGAAACGTCCAAGATATTACCGTATACACCACCTGATAATCTTCTATTGTGTCTCACTATCCCGTCACATTCCGTTTGTGAAGTAGCGTTTGTTAGGCCGCAAACCCAAAGTGTGTTGAGTCTTCGTAAAAGTTGCATAATATCTATGTTTTGTGTACGGAAAGATCGAGGTGGAAACATCCGATTAGCAGAAGTAGCGAGACGGTTTTGGGGAGTAATGATCAATGAGAAAAAAAAAAAAAAGAGAGTGTGTGCGTGAGTGTCAAGTGGAGAGAGAGACAAACGCGCGGTTACGTTACGCGGACGCGCGTTATTTTCACTTTTGCAAACGTAGTAAGAAATAAGCGAGGCCTTTAATCGAGTGCCGATCCCGAAGTCGCGTCGATGGTCGCCGAGATATCTTTTTTCTTTTTCTCTTTTTTATTGGATTCTGCGAGGAAGAATTCGGCGGACGCGCGATGCATTGATCGTCGCGCATTCTTCCGCTCTTCTATTAAACCGGGAATCCGCGTCCGGTTAGGACAAAAATCACACGGCGACTCTTCGGGCGACCCTTCGGGCCGCGTTAACGTAATCACTCTCCGTTGTCTAACGTAACCGCGCGTCCCCCACAAAAACATGGTAGAGAGAAAGAAATTTAAAAAAAAAGAAAAGAATCCAAAAGAGGCCTCTCGAAACAGCGGGAGAGAGGCGCGGAACAAGCAAAAATTTCAAGCGGCGCTCCGAACGGACGCGCAAACGTAACTGTCTGCAAAAAAAGAACAATGCATGTGTTAACAGTGAATATCCGAGTTAAAAAAAAAGAACAAAAGCCGTATAAAGCCAAAAAAGAAAGAAAACGAATCCAGCAGTTGAACTTACACGCGATAAAAAAAAAGAAAAAATATACACACACCTAAGGTAGTAAACCAAAAAAGAAAAAAAAAAATAACATTTGTGATTTTGACGTGCGAGTTATCGCTGTCGTCGAAACATTTTTGACACAGTCGCCAGTCAATCGTGATCGGTCACAAAGCGTGTGTATACGTGTTCGTTAATAAAAGTTGAAAGATGACTTACGATCGGGTGACGCGAAATGTTCACAGGAAAAATTCGATTCGCGACCAAGCATCGCGCGCGCGCGCGCGCCGCCTATATCTCGAC